AGTGCAGGTGGTTTGAGCTCACCTTGCTGTGCTGTTGTTTCCACACAGATGTACCTCTCCAAGATGCGCAGCCACGCAGCCTCTTGCTCCAAGTACCAGAATTACATCATGGAAGGGGTGAAAGCTGTTACTAAAGAGCCCCTCCACAGCACCAGGTAACACCTCTGCTCTGAAATGCTGGGCTTCTCTCACAAGAAAGAATTTGGAAARTAGACTTTACCTCCTTGATCTGTTTGAGTGTTAATTTTTACACAGTTAAAAACTGAGCATTAACCCTGCAGCTGAGTGCCCAGGCAAACTGCTGCTTTGCTTAGTCCATGCACAGGACATCTCTAAGATCAGGGTATTKGGTAGATGTGGCTGGTTTTTTAAATGCCTTTCTGTCTCCTGATTGTACACACCCACAGTGACGGATGTGAAAATTGGTGGCAGTGCACTCGTGTGTGTGTGGCTGGTGGGTGGTACCCTGGCATTTAAAAAAAGTGATAAATGGCACTTAGAACATTTGTAGAAGAGCTGTAATTCATTCCAAATATGGACTGTTCCAAATATTGAGTTCCTTAAGAKACTGTTAGGAGTTTACAAACTGATTGTTAAAATTAGCTTGCTTTAATTGCATAAATAATCTGACTGCTTTGAATAATCTGTATTTGTAAATAACCTCTTTTTCTCCCCCAACCAGGAACTTCCCAAATCGCTTCACCTTCCCTTGTCCATATTGCAGCGAGAAGAACTTTGATCAAGAAGGACTGGTTGAACACTGCAAAGCTTTGCACAGCATGGATGCAAAACAAGTGGTAATAAAAAGTCTTGGTGCAASAATTGCACTGAAGTCTGGTCTTAAAGCSCTTTGAAAYAATGAGTTAGAGGCTTAATCTTGAATTAAGTAAATGTAATTGCTGCTGTTGAGTGAGTGTGGCTGTGCTGGTTGTGTCTCCAAGCCTGGTGTGGTTCTGGTGTCACCTTTCTGTGGGTTTCTGGTCTCTGCTCCCACTGCAGCTGGGCCACATCCTCCTTTCATCCTTGAAAAATGGCACACATTCAGAGTAATTAGGCACAGCAAATTAATACAATATAATCTCAAAAAAATGTCAAATATTTAATTCTCTCCTTATTTTCCCTCTTGTTTTCAGCAAGGAGATGCCATAAACTGTCAGGGAAAATGCTTGCAAGAAATAGTGCATCATTCTAGTAATCCATCTGTGATACTTCCTCTCATGTAAGAGGAACTGCCAAACATGGAACTGAATTTGAAACTTTCATTTTTTTCTGGGAAGTTTTTTGGAATTCCAGATGAGTCAGGGGAAAAAAGTTCCTTTTTTGTCTTGGAGACAAATGATCTTTGCAAAGTARACCAAGGAAACTTTCCTGCTACTGAGAAATAAAGGCTGAAATCTTCTAAAGCAAGAGCCTTTAGTGAGTTCTGATTTTCAGAATGTGAGAGAAGATTAAGCCATTCCATTTCAGGGATCTGAGGCATGAATTAAAATTATTCAGGGTTATCTGAGGCTTTTGTATTAAATGTCCCATGATTACTGGCCATCAGTTTGCATACAGAATAGTGACAGCACAAATRAGCTGCAGTCCCCCAGGCTGTCCCTGCCCTGCTGTTCTTACTGTCAATATTAAAGCACTGAACCACTGGGCCCTAACTGTTATCTTTTTTTCTTGAAGGTTTGCCCAATTTGTGCCTCAATGCCATGGGGAGACCCCAATTACAGGAGTGCCAACTTCATGGAGCACCTGCAGAGACGACACCGCTTTTCCTACGACACTTTTGTGGTATGTGTGTGCACCCCTKGGAGTGCAGCCTGGAGCTCATAACCCGGGGTGCTCCGTGGGCACTGCTGTGAAATCCCAGCCTGCAGAGGTGTCCTTGGAGCAGGATTTCCTGGGAAATCCAGAGATCACAGGGAAATGCAGCTCTTGCTGCTGTGTTAACCAGTGACAGAGTTTCTGTGCCCTTTGTTCCAGGATTATGATGCTGATGAAGATGACATGATGGCACAGGTTTTGATGCGTTCCTTGCGGGATAAATGATCCAGCCAGAAGATTTACTGTAAACCCAAGCTTCCACGAGGGGGAAATGCCCAGCATCCTTGCACTTCTCCCTGCACATCCCAAGATTAACTCAGGCGTCCAGAAGTACAGAAGACTTTAATCCTATCTCAGTTTTAAATCCTGGTTTGATATTTCTGTGCCACTCAGTCTTTTGGTATCATGGTCTCTGACATTCAGCCCTGTCAGCCCCATTTTTCTACTTGCTTAGACTCAGTTTCATTGTARATCTACACCTGGGAATTTCTCCCTWTCCCTATGCCTATTGATTTCTTTGGCACTTATGTTTATTTGACCTTCTAAAATCAAAAACATTCCAAATGGAATGGCCTGAACTAGTTAATAAATATCTCTTCCCAGTCTCATTTACATATCTCAAGTGATTGTATGTGAGGTGTATTTGTAGCTCTGTTCCCYTTTAGTGAGACTTCAGGTGCTAACTGTAACTGTCAGACCAGCTCTCATTTAAGTGACCTCTGATACCTGTGATTCCATAACRTTTCCCAGTGTTCCAGTCCTACAGGCAGCCTCTCAACTATGTGGAAAACATATCTTCAGTAGGAGTGTTCAAACTGCAAACTTTCCTAGGAAATCTTTGCACTGTGTAAAGTTTAAAATACTTCAGTTCTATGCATGATGATTATTTTCCTCCATACTCTTACTATAATTTTTTGCCTGGAAAATGAACTTTAGTGTTGGTCTTAGTTAAAATGCATAATTTTTTTAACAGTCCTAGCAAATATTAATCAAAATTGCTGGCTTTATGATTAAATTGGTGGTTCTGAAACTGGTTTCCTAGTAATTTTAGGCCTTAGGGCTGATAGGGAAATTCTGAAGGTTTTTCAATGCCTCTGCTTTCAATTTAAACTAAAATTTTCATATGTATTCCTGGGTTTTCCATCTCTCAAGGCAAGCTGGTGGCAAAACTTACGAGTAATTCATAGCACTGGCATAGCACTTCCTTTCTGCATCACTGATTTTATCAGGTATTTTGAATTCCTGTTCTTCATTTAAATGTTCCTAAAGTAGCTGAAGGTGTACTTGGATTTGCTTGCCATCTGGCAGTGTGTGTGTAGAGTCAGGAAAAGTAAAATATAACCCTGAAAGCAGGACAATTCCAGCCTGTGRGAAATGGATACTCCGTGTTCAAGCCTACACATTTACCATGGAGACTAGTTGATTTGAATTTGATGCTTTCATTAAGTTCACAGASAAGCTGCTGAGATCTGAGAGTGTAAGGAGCAGAACCTGTAAATCATGGTAGTGTTGAAATGTCCAGTGTAAGCTTTGTAATGGAACAGTGGGCTGCAGTGCCCCAGGATTGAGCACTTATTAATTGTTTGGAGCAGTGACCTTCTTCCATCCTGCTCTGCAGACTGCAGCACAGCCTTACCCTGAAAATAATGAAACACACTCCAGCTAAAACCTCGTGATTGAACTTTGTGTCCAGCCAGACCTCTAACACCTCTCAGCTGACCTTGGGCTTTGTGCTTTCCCTGAGCACCCGTGTGGGGATGGCAGCCCAGTGCARTGGGGTGGGAGATGTGCAATCTCCYGGTTCTGTGGGGCCAGTGCTGTGTTTGGGGTGGTTGATTTAATGCTTGACCCTGAAGTGGTGGCAGTGTATTGGGGATTGGATGGGGATCTCTGGGATCTGGCTACACTGCAGTTTGATGATGTCCATTGCCAGGAATCCAGATTCCTCCTGCTGTTCTAAGTGCACTTCCATGCAATTCTGATAAAATGTCTAAGGAGCAATTAGAAGCTTCCAAGCAATTACTTTGTCATGTTTTTGACTTTTGAAGACAAGTTACAAATAAAGGCCATTTAATTTATAAAATCCTACTTTGGTGTCACCTCTTGTCATTTCTTCCTCATAGTCCACGTTTCCTTTGAGTGCCCAGAGTGTTTGTACTCCGTGGTTTAAGCCTGACTGAGACTCCCYGACTGATTTAAAGCCACACTGCTGAGAGGCAGATGAGTTTTTGCCACTCATCTCGTTTGGGTAGCAAAAAAYGCCTCGCTAATAAACCAATCTGGGCTTCTAAACCCGTCAGTTCCTGGGCAGAGTGAGGGACAGAGCTGCTCTCACCTCGTCAGCAGCTGATCCTGCAGCCACATTGTGGGGATAATGCAATCGGGCCAGCCCCGAGCTGGGACATTTCCCATGTCTGGCACAAGGAGCCGGCCTTAGGAGGACAATTAGCACAGAGAGACACCATGGGAGGAGACAGGCTTGCAGTGGAGCTATTTTATTAAATGAATTGTCTCCAGAGGGCGGCTGATCTTAATAGATCTGATAAATTGCCAGCATTAATTGCCTAATGCACGGGAATTGCTTCATCTGGAATTGCAGCAGTAAATCCCCACAGCCTCCTTAGGCTGGGGGAGGAGATCTTGCCAAAGCATCGATGGTGTGTTCTGGGTCCTCATGTCACTGATCGAAAAGAGAACAGCAAATTTTCTGCAAGGCCTTTGCCCAGCTSTACTGGTGAGCCCACCTCAAGCTACAGGCTTAGATCTCTCTTCTAGTTCTTCTCACATTTATTCTGTCTCTACCAGCACCCAGATGCTGAGGTTTAAAACAAGTAATTCCGAGGAGCTTCTGGGAGAGGCTTTAGTTCCCCGAGCAGAGTGGGGGTCCCTCGCCCAGCCCCGGGGTGGGGATGAGCCCCAGAGCAGCTCCGTGTGCGCTGACGGCAGAGGGAGGTCTTGCATCTCGGAGAGAGAAGCGTTCCCTGCTCCCGGCGCTCTGCCCGGCCCAGCCTCCTCCRCCGGGCTCCGGGAGCTTCTCCAGCTTCCAGCGAGGGCTCACAGCCCACCCCGTGAGCAAAGTTGTGYCCTGCCACAGCCTCACTCTGCTCTGTAGCCCGGTACTCGAGATGCTTCATGGAGCCGGGGGCCAAGGAAGTAGAAATAAGAATTTTCAACAGACATTTTGCCAAGGATGAAATGTGCTTGTGAGGCGGTCCTTGGGCCAGTCCTTGCRGGTCTGGGCCTGGGGCTGTGCCAGGCTGGTGGCAGGTCTGCCCTGACCACCCTGGAGCTCAGCTGATGGTGAGGGTGGGACTGTTGAGAAACCCACTGCCACTTCCAGCCCATGAGCTCCTGCAGCTTCCCCTCCYCTGCGTCCTGCTCTCTGTCCCGCAGCATTCTGGCTCACAGGCACAGGCAGCTCAGCTCTCTTTCTCCACTGATCTCGTTTTTTCCCCTAGCACAGGCACGTTTTTTCCACGCGCAGTGGTTGGAACAGATCTGATTATTACCATTTCAGAAAGAAAACCAGCTCGCTGTGTTCCTCGTGCAGTGTCCCCAGTGAAACCACATCCGCGGCAGGTGGAGGAGCGGGGGGCRCCGGGGAGGGGCCGGGGAGGCACCTGCACCGTCCCCGCGGGGAGCTGCACCCCCGGACCCCCAAGAGAAGGGGGAAAACCTGKCCTTTGTGATTTGTGTCCCCCAAGGCCTTTGGGGGCACATCTCGCCCTGAAGTTCAGGCTGATCCAGGGATGAGTTTTGCAGATTAACACCTGCTGAAAGCCACGGGCAGCTCCGCAGCAAAGGAGGGATGATCCGGCAGCACATGGCTGCAGGGAARGAGTTTGCAAACGTGTCTGGCCTGGGCAGGATGCGCGTGGCTGCCAGGACAGGCTTCCCGAGCTCTTCCTGCCCTGAGGGAGCTCAGCCCCTGAGCTGCAGCCGTGCCAGTGGAAAGCTTTGCTCCCACTTCTGCATTTCACGTCGCTAAACAGAAACATGTGGTCAGCAGGGCTGGCACAGCGATGTGTGACCACTGAGTCACGAGTGGCCGAGCACACGCTCCTTTTCCGAGCGGCAGGGCCGCAGGAGGAGCTCCCAGCGGGATCTGTTCCTCCTCTGGCAGCTGTCTTGGCCCGGGCTGAGCACGGCTCCTGCAGCAGGTGCCTGGACCCGTGCCCTGAGCCCTTCCAGGGGGAAACCTCCGCCGGAGCCGAGGGACAGCATGAGCTGTTAGCCCGGGCTGGAGGGGTGGTACATCGCCGCTCACCGCTGCCCCGGAGCCCGCCAGCAGCACCCGGGCACCTTCCACGGGCACCGGGAAACCAAAGGGAGCGTGAGCCTCAGCGGAGATATTTGACCCACCCTGCCCGTGGAAAAGAGGGCAAGGCAGGAGGGAAGAGAGCAGAGGGGAGCTTGCTGGGGGAAGGCTGTGCTGCCCAAAACTTTCCCAGCAGAAAGGAAAAGCGTGTCTGAGCAGGTGCTTCTGACCCGTGGCAGCGGGAGGAGAGCTGCGCCGGATCCTTCCCGCTGCTCCAAAAGTCACTGCCTCTTCCCAGGGGATTATTAAACCTGTGGCGAAGCGTGCTTCCCTCCAGGGCTGTGTCCCAACCTGCACCGCAGCCGCAGCCGCAGGGCAGGGGAAGGAGCGGCAGGAGGGGCTCCGGGAATCAGCGGCCGGCACAGCGCCCTCCTCCAGCCCGCTGCGGCCGTGGGTGTGTGGGTCAGGGTTCTGACCTGTCCCCGGAACACCGGCTGGAGCCGCGGGGAGCCCGGCACGGGAAACCCTCCGGAGAGGAGCCAGGAGCGGCTCGGGCAGCAGCATCAGCAGCTCCGGTACCGGGCGGGCAGCGCGGCCGCCCCGCGGGAGATACTCCGGGGATACTCCGGGGATACTCCGGGGATACTCCGGGGATACTCCGGGGCTCCCCCCGGGCTCCCCCCGGGCTCCCCCCGGGCTCGGCTCAGCCCCGGCGGCGTGGCCGCCACCTGCCCGTGCCCGTGCCCGCCCCGTCCCGTCCAGTCCGGCCCATTGGCTGCGATCCCCGGGGGCGGCCCCGCCGCCCTCCCCGCCCCCGGCCCCGCCAATATCTGCGGGCGCGGCGGCTCCGCAACCCCGCGGCAGCGGCGGCACCGGGGCTGCAAGATGCCCCGCTCCTTCTTGGTGAAGAAGCACTTCTCGGCCAGCAAGAAACCCAACTACAGCGAGCTGGAGAGCCAGGCCGGTGCGTGGAGAGCCGGGCCGGGCACGTGGGGCGCTCCGCGGGTGGGGCGGGGGCTCTGCTGCGGGATCKCCCTAAGGCTCCACGCGGTGGGGACTCAGCGGCTTTTCGCAGGGTTGCGGAATTGTCTTTTGGTTTATTTGTTTGGGGTGCGTTTTGTTTGTTTCGGGAGTTTTGTTGTTTGTTTGGTTTGGGTTTTTTTTCAATTTTGTGTAACTCGTGTGAGGTTGGGTCCGCGATCCTCCGTGTCTCGGGATGCCGAGCCGCTCCCTGGCACCCCGGGGTGGGTGGTGGCACCGGGGGCTCCCTCATGGGGTGGTTTTGGGTGCGTGGGGAGCTCCCCGTGCCGGGAGTGGGCGGGAGCGTGGGATTCCCTGCACCCCATCCATCGCGGTAGGGCGGGGGTCTCTGGTGTGAGGTGCGTCCCCTTTGCCGCGGGGTGGGCTCCAGTGGGGTGGGCTGGGATGGGGTCCCAGAGCCCCGGGGTGGGTCGGGCCCGTCGCCCCCGTTGCGAGGGCTCCGCGGGCCCCACTGACCGCTGCCACCTCCCGCAGTGCTGAGCGCCCCGCTGCTGTACGAGACGTGCCCGCTGCCCGTCATTCCCCCGCCCGAGGTGCTCGGCCCCGGCGCCTAYTACCCTCCGCTGGTGTGGGACGCGGGGCTCCTGTCCAGCCTGTTCCCGGGCGCTGCGGGCGCCGAGGCTGCGGGCGGTGCGGCCCCCGCCCTGGACCTGACGGCGCTCTCCAGCGAGGAGGATGAAGGCAAAAGCTCGGGGCCCCCCAGCCCGGCCTCGGCCCCCGCCACCGCCGAGCGCTTCCGCTGTGCCCAGTGCGCCAAGGCGTACTCCACCTTCGCCGGGCTCTCCAAGCACAAGCAATTGCACTGCGACGCCCAGGCCAGGAAATCCTTCAGCTGCAAGTACTGTGAGAAGGAGTACGTGAGCCTGGGGGCTCTCAAGATGCACATCCGGAGCCACACGCTGCCCTGCGTCTGCAAGATGTGCGGGAAGGCCTTCTCCCGGCCCTGGCTGCTGCAGGGCCACATCCGGACGCACACTGGTAATGTTCCCTTTTGTCCCTCTCCTCCCTCCCTTATCACCTCCAGCTTCCCTGCTCCACTGCCCCCAGCGAATCGGCGGCCCGGCTGTTATCTCGGAAGATAAGGACTTCCCAGACCCCCTTGGCACATCTCTCTAAAATGTCCTTTAAATATCCTCTCGGCTGGAACGGAGCGCGGGGTCAAGGCCCAGCCTGTAAATCCGTGCGGCTGCTGTGAGCGCAGAGCCGGCCCGGGAGGGATGGCACACGCTGACAGAATGTGACACTGCCGGAGCCTCCCTCCCTGCCYGGCCATGCCCAAAACATCCACCGCTGCCTCCCCGAGGGCTCCCRGCCCGGGCAGAGCCGCAGCCACAGCTGCCCACCCGCTCAGCACCCAGGGTGGGGATGAACCCAGCTCAGGGCATGAGCCCGGCTCTGGGATGTGCCCGTTAGGCTGGGCTTGGCCGGTGGGCAGGTGCTGGAGGCACCTGTTGGCACACGGCCGGGTGCGCAGCTGCAGCCCACCCCGCTGCCACGGCCGCCCGACAAAGCATCTCCCGAGCATCCTTTGTGGGGCTGTGGGACGGTGTAATTGTGACTTGGCACTGATTTCACACCCTCTTAACGTGCTAAAGATGATGGCTGAAGGAAGCCGGGTAGACTTAATTGTGCTTTCCAAATTGAGCATACACATTTGTTTCCTCCAAAAGAGTCTTTCTGGGAGGAATTCACCCTGGCCAGGCTTTTCARTGCGATCCGGGCAGGAGAAGGGGGAGCGCGGGGCTCTGCAGAGGAAATAGCTGCACTCACCCCGGGCTGGCGCCTCGCAGCCGCTGCCTGCTATGATATAATTAACACACAGCGCTCGGCTTTCCTGCCTCGCTGCGAGCTCCTCGCTTGGCTCCGCGCAGGAGACGAGTTTCGTGTCTTGGTCTGTGTGTGCAACTGCCGTGCTCCTTGCAGATGTTTCCAGCATTAATTTTCCGTGGCTCACAGGAGAGCTTTTTCTGGGAGCAGACAATTCCCAAGCTGGCAGTTCTCCCCCGAGCAATGCTGTACATGCCCGGCTTTTCCTCTGAACAATAACAGCCAGCACTTCTTTTCACTGCGCTCTGCACAAACTTTGGCTAATGAATGGTTCCTTCTTTGATATTCCCCATGTGTTGATGCACTGGTTAATTGGGAGCGTTTCTCTTTGTCCCATAGGTGAAAAGCCTTTTTCCTGTACACACTGCAACCGGGCCTTTGCTGACCGCTCTAATCTCCGCGCCCACCTGCAGACCCATTCAGATGTAAAGAAGTACCAGTGCAAAACCTGCTCGCGGACTTTCTCCCGCATGTCGCTGCTGCACAAGCATGAGGAGACGGGCTGCTCCGGCTCTCGCTGAGGACTCCATGGCCTCTCTCAGCACAAATGCCTATATCATAACTAGATTCTGTAGGAGTTAGTTTCCTCCGTTGCGGTGTGCACCGGGCTGGACACTGCTGCTCTGGCCCTTGAGACCCTCACACTCCTCCCTCGGTGCCTCCAGTGCAATTCGTGAGCCTGATCATAGAATATTCTGAGCTGGAAGGGACCCTTCAGGATCATCGAGTCCAACTCCTGGCCCCGTGCAGGAGTTCCTAAGAACCCTTCCACGTGCCTGCCAGCGTTGTTTTGTCCAAACGCTTCTCGATCTCAGGCTCGGTGCTGTGACCACTGGACCCACGCTGGCATCTGGGCTGGCAGGGCTGGACTCAGAGCTGAGTGTGAAACTCGGGGGCACAGTGCTGCCCCTCAGCAGGTGCCCCCCTGCCCGAGGCACCTTGCAGGGCTGGACCTGCACCCCGCGCCGGTACCCAACACTGCGACCATGTAGCTTGGGGGATTGGGGCTTTTGTGTTGGGTTTGTTTTTTTTTTTTTTTTAACACCGTAACCACTTGGTAATTTTTAAGAACCAATATTTTTTTATGAAGGGCAAAACGTCCCCCCCCCACACCCGAGTGTATAGAGCCCGCCTGTAGAAGGTGTAACTATGCAATAATACAGTATCCCAGTAGTTGTGAAGCAGCTGCTTCTCCCCAGCACAATGACAATTTGCAATGCCTGCGAGATTAACAGTGTCCATGAAAGGCGGGGGTAGCCATTTCAAACCCCAGCCCTGTTTACAGAGCAGCTATGCACTCAAGCACCTGTTAATATGACTCTTAACAACTGCTTTTCAAGAGAACTGTGACTAATAGCAGGCACTTGTCAGCTGATACAATGGTGGCCTGTCCCAAGGCTGTCCATCGACAGGTGTGTGCCAAAAGCCCTATTTATGGGTATTGACAGGTGCCTCCTGAATGCATCTTTCTTTAAACATTGTTTTCATGGAATCATTACAAAGAGGATGTTTACATTTCAAAGGTACACTGGTATTTATATTTTTGTGCCACGATTTTGTACTGATGAAACTTTTTATATAATTATATACGGTTTATTGATATTCAATAAAATGGTTAATTTATAAGAGGGTTTTGTGGGTGTTTGGGGTGAATATGCAGCTGTGAGGGGGGAGTGCTGGGCTTAGCTCTCTCCCAGCCCGTGCTCCTGGCCTCTAGCAGGTGACTACAAAGMGACATTTGCAGAAGGGAATCTGTGGAGCAGTTGCCTCTGGGAGAGGAAAAGTCAGGCTGAGTCAGTTCCTGCCGGAGGGCTGGGGCAGCTGTGAGAGCACAGGAGCTCGCCTTGTCTGTCCGGGCTCCCCGGGTTCTGCTGCTGTCCCCGCGGAGCTGTGGAGCACACTGGTGGCTCGCCCTGGGCACTCCCTGGGAGCAGATTGGTGCCACAGCACCAGGCACTGTCCCTGGGAGCAGCACCGGGCACTGTCCCTTAGAACAGATCAGTGCCACAGCACCGGGCACTGTCCCTGGAGCAGCTCAGTGCCACAGCACCGGGCACTCTCCCTGGAGCAGGTCCATGCCACAGCACCGGGCACTGTCACTGAGAGCAGATCGGTGTCACAGCACAGGGCACTGTCCCTGGAGCAGCTCGGTGTCACAGCACAGGGCACTGTCACTGAGAGCAGATCAGTGCCACAGCACAGGGCACTGTCCCTGGAGCAGATCAGTCCCACAGCACCGGGCACTGTCCCTCCGGGGTGGCAGAGCTCTCTCTGGCTCTGGGCAGGATCCCGAGCCTGCAGCACGGGGTGAGTGACCCGCTGTGGGTGGTGCG